AGCGTCTCCAGGAGCTTTCGCTCTGGGCTGGGAACCGGCTGGGTGGTGGCGGTACCCGGGCTCGCGCGGCCACGTGAGCTCCGGACAGGAGCCTTTGCTGGAGACAAAGATTAGCGTGTGGGCAGCAGGTCCCAGCTCCGTGAGCTCGACGCCCCGGGGCGCTCGCTGAATTTACGCCTTCGAAGCCATGGTTCCTCCGTGGCTTTGCCAGCCTGCGTCGGCAGGGTGGGCCGGGCAGCTCTGCCGCCGTCCCCCCGAGAATCGCCCCGGGAGGGGGGAGATGAGATCTGCTCACGGAAAGTCACTTGTCGGGAAGTCACGCAGAGGAAACCCCCGTGCCCGGCGGTGACAGGCGCAGTGGAACTGAAATACTGTGAAGCGCGGAGGTGTGAAATCCACCTGATGGTCTGTGACTCGGTTTCCTGGTCGAAGAATGTTCGCTGTGACTTTCAGTCCCTGCTGCTTCTGCAGCAGCGCGTGCTCCGTCAGCTCCGGCTGTGGCGTGCGGGAGCTGCTGCTCCTTTGAAGATCTTTATTTTTAAAGCCGTGAGGTTTTGTAGCTGTTTTTAGGGCCGCCACTTTCCAGACTCCGGTGATGCACCCATCGGCGAGGCCCTTTTAGGGAAGACAAAATATAACTCCCGGGTCTTCCCCCGGCCCACCCGCCGTGACTCTCCCGAGAGTGACCGTGTCTCAGCTCCGGGATCCCGGTCGGTGCGCGCCGAGGAGGCTGGGGGGGTGCTCACCGCCCTTTGCAGCTGCGACTGTCTTCACCGCCTTGCTGGGCAAGAACAACAGAGGTGGGACCGCGACGCGCTGCTGTTCAGGCGGAGTGGAGATGTGCTGTCTGGGCGAGCTGTCAGCGGAGCCCTGATCCGCAAACCCAGCTCTCGGGCGAGCGTGCCAAGCCGGCAGCTCCCAAGCACGGGGCTGGCTCCTGCAGCTCCCGCTCGCCGTGCCTGGCGGGGGAGGTCGTCGGACGCGCGTTTGCCTGCAGATAAACGAGCGAACGCACTGCTGGGAGCGGGGAGCACTGCCCTGGTGAGGCCCCACCTGGAGTCCTCTGTCCAGTTCTGGGCTCCCCAATTCAAGAAAGATGAGGAGCTACTGGAGAGAGTCCAGCGGAGGGCTACGAGGATGAGGAGGGGACTGGAACATCTCTGCTAGGAGGAGAGGCTGAGGGAGCTGGGCTTGTTCAGCCTGGAGAAGAGAAGGCTGAGAGGGGACCTTGGAAATGCCTCTAAATATCTGCAGGGTGGGGGTCAGGAGGACGGGGCCAGACTCTGTTCAGTGGTGCCCAGCGACAGGACAAGGGGCAACGGGCACAAACTGGAGCAGAGGAAGCTCCAGCTGAACCCGAGGAAGAACTTCTTCCCTCTGAGGGTGACGGAGCCCTGGCCCAGGCTGCCCAGGGAGGCTGTGGAGTCTCCTTCTCTGGAGATATTCCAGCCCCGCCTGGCCGCGGTGCTGTGCAGCCTGCTCTGGGTGACCCTGCTTGGGCAGGGGGTTGGGCTGGGTGACCCACAGAGGGCCCTGCCAAGCCCAGCAATGCTGGAATTTGGGGATGCTGTGAATGGGAGCTGTGTAATGCTGAGTCTCACCGCAACGCGTAGGATCCGACACCCCTGGGTAATCGAAAGCAGATCTTGCTTCATTTTCCTCTTTTTCTCGCAGAGGAACCATCGCCTGGCATCTCAGAAATGTTCTTTGGATGTTTGTAATTCTCAGTTGCTTGAGGGGTTTTGTTTTTTGCTTTTATACCTCTTGTTTACAGCCACGCTAGGAGCTGTGTTTGGCGTGACTACCTGCCTCAGCGCCCAAATCCGAGAGGAACCGCGGGATCCCTTGAACTATTTCATAGGAGGCTG